TGCTTATTTTTACCTCAGTTGCTAATTTCCTGAATTTATGCTATAGGTTCGAAATTACTTAAAAACTTGGGGAAGTTCACTTGTGGGAGATAATATTTTACATGGTTTGTGCGGGTGAGAATGATGAGTAGCTATGTATAGAATAATTTATTTCGGAAATATTGTGTAGAAAATAGTATGAGTGTTAGAGGTCCCTCTGTACCGCTTCATAAATCTCATAGTTAGTAATATTAACGATAAGCTATAGATATTTTTCGGAAATGTGAGAGAGCAATGAAATAGTGTGATGCTAGGACTCGGAGTATTCTCACCCTCTTAATGAAGCATTTATTGTTTGCCCACATTGAGCTTTATTTTTTAACATGTGTCAGTTTTTTCGTGAACATCCAAAAATAGATATCATAATATGATAATCATATCGGGTTTACCAATATACCATTGCAAACTTTCCAATTTAAGATACAATATGAATATTGTATGATTAAATGGTTAATAAAAAAGAAACGTACCATTATCAGATTCCTTATTTTTGCATCCAATAACTTTTAATATCAACTCCGCATATTGACAAAAAAATCACTTCGATATATACTAAAATGCAGGTAAACCAATAAAACAATGCTTTTGAGGAATAACAACAAAGTAACTATCAGAACTCAATGATTCACAACAGTCCAAATGGTAGTTTTAGTCAGAGATTTAAAGACATATTATCGGTATTCAGCTTACGCAGAGAATGTCGGCTGGAATTATCCTAATGGAGCTTCGGCAATGCAAGGTTACGATTTTAGGGCCAATTCTTTTTGAACTCTTCAGGTCATCGCAATAATATCTTCAATCCTGTCTACCGTCGTTTCGGATATGGAACTTCTAGTATTCGCGCAATAGTATAATTTATAAACCAAACTAGGAATCTACATTTTCAATACTGGTCATAATAACGTGAACCACTATTTTTGGGTTATTAATTTAGCCGAAAATAATAACACACTTGCTTGAACAAGTCGTGGGGTGTGTGTGATTATGCTAATTTTTTTTCATCTTTAGGGATTGTGATAAAGAGTTGTACATATGTAAGATCCGATTTATTTTCAGAAATTTGGGATTATAGTTATAACAACATTTTCACCATTATTCCCAGATCTATATTTCGATACAGTTCTCCTTTTCTCTTCCAATTATACTAGCATCTATGGTTTACCATGGAATTTGACTTTTTTTTTACCATAGTCATCTGAATCCACATAAAATTCGAGACTCGCATAGTTTACGTAATCCAAATGCATTAAATTATTTATTATTAACAAAAGTATGCGGTCTATGTGAAAATTTCGATTAATTCCTAATCGTTCGTTAAGAAAATAATACTATCTAGAACTGTGATTTTTTTTTTAAAAAAAAGCTTTTACAGCCTTTTTTGATACACAAGTAATTAAAGGAACAATAAGAAATGGTCTAGCTCTTGGTATATTTGGTAAAGTCTCAAAATCATGAAATCAATTATTTGGTCGTTACACTAGATGCTTCATAATATCAAACTTTTATCCCTAGATTGTCTTTTGAAACTTACGAAAATTACAATTGTATTTCAATGGAAATTAGAGAATCATGCGGAAATATAGCTGACATAAATTTTTGTTCCATATATAATTTCTAAAGAAATTATGATATTTATAAATAAATAAATATTTATTTATTTGTTCCTGTAATATTTAGAACTTGTTTCTAAGAAGCCCTTCAAAATAAGTGGCTTAGGTTATATCTTTGTTTACGCTAGATCTAATTTCATTTTGGATGTCCATGTGAAACGGAAATTTATAGACACGAGGAAATGCTTACTGATTTCGCTCAAACTTATAGTGTAATTATGTTACAACAATGGTATGGTCAGAGTAGAAAAGGGGCAAGATAATTGACAAAGCAAAAATGATTATCCAAGAGAACAAAGAACATTTTTTCATAATCTTATAATAATTGTAAATTCGTTGATAATTAATTTTTCTTGTAACCAATATTGCAAGGTCAATGTGACTAAACGAAATTGCAAAATTTATTAATAATAAATATAATAAAGAAAATAAATGATGTCTCATTTACCTGAGGAAAAGATGCAAATAAAATGAAATTACGGGGAAACTCAACTATTACATCAATATATTCTTTATCGAACAACGTTTAAAATTTCCACAATATAAAAAAAAAAAAAATTTGGTAAGAAAATGGAAATTCTACAACGTAATAAATACCTAGCATGACATGTATCACGTGCATTGACTACATCAAATTGGCTGATCGAAATATAGATAGTATAATGGTTGATTAAATTTGGTTACCCTTTGGTGTTGAAAGAAAATTCCAAATCTTTTTCGAAAGATTCTTTTCAACTTAAAGTTTAAAGGATGATGTATTTAAATGATTGATTAAAATTTGCGCCAAAAAAATATAATAATTTTTAGGGTCAAAACATTACTAAATTTTTAATTAAAGACAAATTGATCTTGAACTTTTTTAAATAATAATCTAATTACATTACAAAGGAGAAACTACTACAATGACAAAAAAGAAACAATCCAAGGAAATCTTTTATTATTATTATTATTATTATTTCGAAGTCTAACTTCAAATGATAATATAATGCCCTTTTATTGGTTAAGACCGGGTTAAGGCACTTTGGTTCTTCCTTGGTAAACTTCGAGGTTTCAATTTGGTATTTTAAACCCATAAGAAGCACCTAAAGTTTTTGGGTGGTCAGATAATAGTACATTAATGCTTTGTGTTATTTTTGTTTCAAATTAAACTTTTTATTTATGCCGAATTTTGGTGTTCAAGAAAAGAACGATCGATTGTCTTTTTCGGTAACATGTGATCGCCGAACATTATATTATTGTAGTAAAATGACGTTTCCGAAATAGGCGACTCATGACGATTGTTTCAGTCAAAAATTTTTAATCGAAAATTCCTTTTTACTACATTAAGTTATATTATTGTAGGGGGGTTTCAGATCTAATGGCGCAAATTTGCGGTTACATGTGGCGTGCGTGACATTTTGTCCAACAATCGGTTTTTTTTTAATGATATACCGCTTGGCATTAATTGGCGTCTATTTAAATCTCTCTCTCGATTTTTTTTTTCATTTATTTAAAAAAAGAAAATCATAAGTAAAGAACGATGACTTCCATGATATCCTCTCTCACAAATCAAACTATAGAAAAACAAGAACCCTTGGTTCATATTTTAGAAAAACAAGCAAAGGAATTTGAAGAATTTGGTAAACGCATGAGCGTAGAATTACAATCATCATATCAAGATTATATTCGACAAAATGAACCAAATATACAAAAATCAAATCCAGAGTCTGAAGTGAAGAGCGCAATCACTTGTGAATGTAGAGAAAAAACTAAACTAATTAATTCCTTGAAGACTCGTATCGAAGAATTGGAAACCGAATCCATTATTAAAAATCAGGAATTAAAAAAACTTCAATTAGATGTTCAATTACTTTTTGATATTGTCTCAAAGAATGGTATAACGAACGTTGAAAGAACAAATTTTATGCCCACCCAGATCACTATTACCTCCGAGATTGAAGATAATAATCAAGTTGATATCGGAATAACTCTTAGACAAGAGAGAAAAGAGATTGAAAAAGATAGACTATCGGTTGAAAGTTTTGATATTAAAAATAGTTATTCGGATTCTGCATTAGATTTATTTACGGATGATGATGGGTATTATGATTCATCGAGTGAAGAATCGGTTAAGACGGAACCAAATTGGATAGACCCCAAGAAGCTCAATAAAAAGTATGACAAACCTTCAGAATGGCTTGATGTTTCCCCGACATTGATACAAGAAAGAATTTATCGTGCAAAGTCGGATAAAAAGAATTTAGATCGTTGGAATTCTAAAATGGCTTCTAATGGTCTATTACCAATCTCGTTGGTTGGAAAAGTTGATGCCGAAAAAGAAAAGAAAATACAGACTCATCGAAAGAGACATAGTACATCTGCGATCTGGTTAAAAACTTATGAGAATAAACCAACTTTGAAGCGAAATGAGAAATTTAAAATGCCATCATTTAAATTTCCTTTTAATATGACCGAGGATGACAAAACAAAACAAAAGGAACCAAAAGAAACTTCGATTCCTCCAACATCTTTAAAAAGTTCAGTTAGTACTTCCATAATTGAAACCTCTACTACTACTACTTTAATGTCTTTTGAAAATCAGAAACTTAATAACAATAGCAAAGCACAACAAATGCTTGCCTTGTATAAATAATTAACAGAATAGATTTGTTGCAATATAATCTAGACTTTATAATTTTTTTTTTGTAAATTTTGTATTATTTTATTTATTCATTTAGTTATTTATATCATGATTTTTTTGTGTAGAACACATCAAATTAAAAACATTTCATCTTCAATTTATACAAAGTTCGTTTAGTGACTTGGTTATGGCGTGTTGAACAATATTTTATTGAAAGAATTAATAAAATTCAACTTAGCTACCATATTCTTAATTTCTTAATGTATGAAATAAATGTTGAGATTTCTTTTTTTTTCTTTTTTTTTTGTTTGTCGCATGATCTTAATAATCATCAATGTTATACCGTTGCTCCCGTTGCTACCCCCTGCAGAATTTTCATTTTACACAAGAGATTGAGGGGCCCTACATTTCATTTGATATCTTTAATGGCCCTGGAGTTTTGTCACCTGGAAGAGATGTGAATATAGAAGACCATTCCTATTATGATGATTCTGTCATTAAATTATAATATATTGAAAGGTTTATGTCTTCCTGTGGATCGTAAAGGGATTGCCAGTCGTTCATTGATTTTCGCGTTTAAAATGTTCGGGCATTTATGGTACACAAATATCAAAACGAACAAATCAAATGCTGTCAAAAAAAATTTGGTGGTACCAATCAGATTTGTCGGATATAAAAAAAACCGATTGGATCTGGATTTATGTAATTGTGCAAAAATAACAAAATCTCAATTTATAATTTCTAAAAAATGCAAAATGTTTAATTTGCCTATTCAGTTATAATAGCACAGAAGATTTATCTAAGATAATCAGATTAGTTTTTAAAAATAATATTATCGTTATTATTTATTAAATGAAATAAATTTAATTAAAATTGAACTTTTCTAGATACCATCCCCGATGATTTCTTTAAACACCATCCCATTGTGGCACAGCATACGAATAAGTGATATTTTTATTAAATAATTAAAAACATATAATAAATTTATAATTGATTATTGTAGGCTATATATTTATGAAACAATTTAAGAATTTTCTTTGTTCGGACAATGTAAATAAGTATGCCCAATTTCTTTACAACTTTTACATGGCGCAGCACAACTTCTTGAATTATGCCCATCTTTAAGACAATTTCGACATACATATCCATCACCAGAACGGGTTTTTCCTTCTCTATTTTTTGAAATATTTTCCACACATGATTTTAAGCGTTTAGCCGGCCTTCCTTTTGTATTAATTTGTAATGGATTCTGAATCATTTCTTGATTTTCAGCATTTAAAGAAGCAGAAGTAGATTGTTCTACTTGTTGAATTAAACCTTGTAAAGTAGCTGCAATATGTGTTATACAATATTCAGAAGCCAAAGATGCTAACTTTCGTCCTAATGCTGCACATTCCCCATAAATTTGTCGTTTCATAATTGTATGTTCAATTTCAGAGTCTTGATCTAAACAATCCTGTCTAAAATCCTGAATCCCATACATAGAAA